GATTTCTGAAGGATCATGTGACACTGAAGACTGGAGTAATGATGCTGAAAATTCAGCTTTGATCACAGGAATAAATAAGATTTTAATGTATATTAAAATAGAAAAACTTTATTTTACATCATAATATTTCACAATATTACATTTTTTCTGTATTTTGATCAAATAAATGCAGCCTTGATGAGCATAAGAAACTCCTGTAAAAAAACATTAAAAATCGTTCTGATCCCAAACTTTTGACCAGTAGTGTATATACATACATATATACTTATATATATATATATATATTGGTAAAATATTACAATATCTGACTCATTAAGTGATAACAAATGGCAAGTAAATAACTAAACTATCAACCATTAATATCAATAAATAAATCTGATATGGTAATATGTTAGCAATACATTGTGAACCCCAAAATTCAGAGATTCATGTTTCAAAAGAAAAACAGTGGGCTCCAAAAAGTATTAGGATAATCAACATACTTAATACTTAATTTGCATTAACAAAATATCAAAAACAAGTGCCACTTATTTTAAAGAAATTAGCACAAAAAACCTTTGAGAAAACATTTCTCAAAATTACAAAACACATACTTGACCATAAATATGTAACTGACTGGCCCAAAATGGCCTTTAGTCTGTATATTTCTTTACAGATGCCACTTTGAAATTGGCGTCTAACATAGACAAGTGTGACTAAAGCGACCAAAAACATTTGTGGCCTCAATCCTTCTGCAAATTGAAATGGACTAGATTCTTACCTTGCACCCTTCACATGCGCTAACTCCATAGTGGTAGCCCGAGGACTTGTCCTGGCAGACGAAACAGGGCTTGTAGATCCGTGGTGGTGGTGGTGGAGAAGGTGGGCTGGGTACAATCTCCTCTGAGCTTGTGCTCTGGGTCTCCACAGCTACAAGAGAACAGAAACAGCCTTTAGTTTGACTCAATGTGCCTTTAGCCTTTAGTTTGACTCATAATTTCCTCACAAGGTTTATTATTAGGTTCCTTCGTGCACAGAGAAAACAGCATTTTGTGTTTTAGCAACAGTCTGCAGTGACCTTCAACCTTCAAAAGATGCTGCCGCTCCCCAGGAAGGCTCAGCGAGGGAGCGCTTGTGCATCCCGATGAGCAGCTAAGGTCAAGCTTGACAGGAGAACATCTCCATTCCTGGAGCGAGCAGACAGATAGGCTGGTGACACGCTCTTCTTACACATTCGCTCTTGCTTTCCTCCCAGTTTCAGCTGCTACCGACTGGGACGAGTGCCAGCCTTAATTAATAAAGTCATGACAGTCAGCCGGGGTGAGGTGTGGAGGGAGGAACCGCACGCTGTGCTTGAGTGGAGCTGCACTGCACCGTCAAAGAGCTGCCATGACCGAGAGCTTATGAAACAACTGTGATTTAAATAGCAGACCATGAGGAAAAACCCACGCTAGAGTACATCCTGCCCTCTCCACACGTCAAGGGCACAAAACGACAAGGGCTTTGCAGTTTGAATAGCTGAAATTCTCTATGTCACTGATGATTCCCTGTATGAATATGCCCACATGTAAATGACTGTCTGCATGGTGGTGATGATGGCACCGGTATATTTTCAAAACATAAATGTACACAGACACATTCCACTCTGCAACCCTCATGTGTCTCTCTCTCTTGCTGCCATCCTCTCCTTTCCCGCCGTGTCTCTCACAAATGCCATGGCGTAGAGAAAAATGAGATGAAGACACAGGTTGCTAGTGAAGGAGAACATGCTATTATGTGGGTGCAGTTAGCAGGTGTCATTAATGCAGAGACTTAGATATTGTTTCAATAACCCCTAATAGATGTTGAAAAGGGGTAGTAATTGCCGCATTTAAGGGGCAGCCCTTCCAAAATTTTAGTCAACCCCAAGTTGTTCCAACTTGTATAAATGTCTTTCTTCTGCTGAACACAAAAGAAGATATTTTGAAGAATGTGGATAGCCAAACAGTTGCTGGTAGCCACTGACTTTCATCGTATGGGGAAAAATACTATGGAAGTCAATGGGGATCATTATTGGGTTTCATTATTTAGCATTTTTCTGACCTTTCTCTCTGACCCTTTAAATGTTTTTGCTACTGCAGTAGCATTAAATATTTTTGGTTTAAATATTTTGAAATATGTTAAACAGTAGGGCTGGGTTTTGACACAAATTTCACAAATTGATTCGATTATCCTTCACAAGCTTTCAATTCGATTTGATTCCAATTTTGATGCGATAAATAAAACGTCTCTCAACTAATGCTGTAAAATATACCTGAGAGTCAATAATATGGAAGGTTGAAATTTGCTGATTTGTATACAAACACTTAAAATATAGGCTACTCAAAGTTTTTGTAATATTAAAGTTATAATACTAACTTTAACTTACATAATTATATTTCTACTCCAATTAGTTTTTTGAAATATAAACATTTACTTTACTTTTTTTCAATATTTAATTTATGTTTGAATAAATCAAGCATTGGTTGTCACAAAAACTTGACGGATTTATTCAAACATAAATTAAATATTGAAGAACAGTAAATAAAAAAAAACTTTTACGCATTTAAAACACTGTTTGAGCGATTACATGAGATAGGATATGGATTTCGGTAACTTGTACTTTCTTTTTAACATACCTTCAGATTTTCATTCATGTTTATTTCATTCTGTAACTGCTATTAAAGCGGAGGAGACGATCAGTTCACGCAGCCGCTTCTAACCGAGGCACTACAGCGATCTGTCACTCCACATTAAACAGCGCCAAAACGGCATATTTGAATATAATAATGATAATAATAATGGACAGAATGACAATAAAATGGACAGAATTTGAAATGAGACTTTGTTTCATATCAAAACTAACAAATCACAAATCTTATTGCAATTTATAGACCCTTTTCACATGACGTCATGCAACTTACGTTTTGACTTGAAGCAGGGTATTCTTACTTCCGCCCGGCATAGTAAAGCGCTATCGCTACCAGCACGGAGTTCATCCAGACACTTATACATCTGCCACAAATACGATTAGAGGATAATTGCAGCGGTCTACTCTCGTCCTCATTCAAGGCGAGGCATCTGGCATCTCAAATGAACTTACCGAATACCGATCGCAGAGATTTGCCGCTTGAAGTTGAGGGAGAAGTTGAAAACTGAGCAGTCATACTTTCTGATTAACGTGACTCTCGCGCAGTGTTTGCTGTCTTTATTGCAGATTAAGTTGATCAGATACAGTATATAGCTGTCAAATAAACAAACATGTGGTAACAGAAAGCCTTTTCATTCAATAATTTATGTACTGCTCAATACAGCGTCTGTATGTACAAGAATAAAGTTCAACAAAACAAGCTTGTACCATTTAAATATCAATAAAACGGGGTCTATATTTTTCTGCTTTATTTTGATAAACATGACAATATAATTCAGAAATCAATAATAAAATGAAGTTTACATATCGATCATATCAATCATTAATAATCCACAAAGAAAGAGACTATACATGTAAAGTCAAATTAAACGGGGTAATTATAGAGGTCCATAATTCTGTAGCACTAAGGCTTGACGGCGGTCCTTCTTGCATGGTTTCAATATAAAGCCATTTTATTCTTTCTTAAACTGGATAATATTGGGTTTCTTTTCAGATCAAATGCATTTATGGATGTGAAACTTGTCTTAATGAGAATATTTAATATAAAATATGACTTGTGTCCATGTAATTTTTCCCATATAGTAAAAAAAATTATAAAATCACGAGGTTTGTCTTTTTTTATTGCAGAACAACTACACTTGCATGTAAATATACACAGAGAATTTACACAGTGTACTCACTATTACAATAATCACAGCAACAACTGAAATAAATCAAATAAATTATCCAGGGAATTACATAAAACAGTTTCGCTCGCTCGCTCTCTCTCTCTCTCTCTCTCTCTCTCTACCGTTAGGTAACTTGTGCATTGTTTTACTTACTTGTTTTTGACGTATCCGACCGAACTACAAACTTTCCAGTGATGTCTGTGAGAAAGGTATATTCACTCGACAAGCTCACGCATCTGCGCCGCCACACGCTCAGTCCACTCAGTGCGCTTTGTTTTCAACTCGCGCACATCAGCTATACAGGCGTTAATACTGAATGTTTAACATTATATTCATTGCATACATATACTTCGTAGACATCCTTAATCTCTAATAACTCCATTCTGCTGTCTGTTGTTGGCATTTTAACGAGTACGAGTACAGGAGCTCAGTATCGGGCCCGATACCGATACCAGTATCGGTATCAGTGCATCCCTAGTTTTAAGTATATATTTTGTGTGGATACGTAATCGTTATCATACAAATCTGAAAGCAAGTCTATAACATTGCTACAGTTGCTGCAAGCTAGCCTCCCAACCATCTAAAGCAGATGTAGAATAACGCTTACAAAAGAACCCGACTGCAAGTGCATTCATTTTATTAGTATTAACTCATAACGGACGCCTTTATATTTCAAGTTGTTCCCGCATTTTCCCGAGAAGTCTCCGGCGCAAAGGTATAAAAGAAGTACAGATACACTACTTTGCAGAAAAGCGGACGTTAGTTGACATCATTATGAAAAGGGTCTATTGGATGGGAGGTGCGCTACAATGTTCCGTTCATTATCTGACAGGCTAGACGAATCGATTCTTGGGATTTATGAATCGATATAGTTTCATAAAAATGAGAATAGATTAAAATAGAGAAATCGATATTTTTAACCCAACCCTGTTAAACAGTGAGTTAGGTAGGATCTCAGCTTTGTCTATTACGAGTGGTATAGTAGAAAACGAGACCTCACCTCCATCGGACTACACATGCACTGTTGCTGAGCTAGTGGGCAACCGTTTGCGTCTATTTCCTGTGTTCAGAAAAAGCAGTCAAAGCTAAAAATACCCACCCTGGCTAGCACAGAGTCAGATGAGGATGTCGAGTTCTTATCTCTTGCCACACACATACAGCAAACATCCCCACAAACGCAAACACGATTCCCAGCACACGATCAAACGCTAACACAACTGACTTCAATGCAGTGTGTTGAGAGCTGCTTAACGGTTTTATTTAGCAAATGAAGAAAGAAAACAAGAAAAATCACAAATAATGTGGGGAAACTACAAAAGAAAAACAGAGACCCATGAAGGCACAGTTATGGAGATTTACGAACAATAACTTGGGAAACACAGGGTTTTCCCAAATATACAGAATACACCTTCTGAACAATGCATTTCCAGTCAATCACTGAATAAAACAAAAAACATTTTACAGAAATGACTCAAAAAGCTATTTCTTGCTAATTTGTAATAAGAGCTGAGCAAATGAGAGGAAAGAAAAAAAAAAGTTCAAGATAGAAATTTGCATGAATTTTCCAAGCCTGGAAGCTACAATTTTATTATTCCCTACAAGTCCCTAATAATTCCAAGCTTTTTAATGACTATGGTAACTAGAGGTCGACCAATATTGTTTTTTGTTTTTTTGATGGCAGATACTGACATCTTAGGGATGGCAGATGACCAATATAAAGCCGACATATCATTATTTAATAATAAAAAAAAAAATGAAATAACACGTGCTGCAGTAAAAGAAATTAAATTTTTACATCACATTTCCTAAATAAGAAATAATTTGAAAATGAATCAATATGACAAGATAACTTGATAAAAAAAGATTTATACTTGTGTTTTATACATTTATACAGATGTGTTAGATAGTGTTGCCAAAAATATTTCATACTTTGTCCTTTGATGCAACTGTTTTACCCTTCAAAGGCAAAAGGCAGTACCAATGCCTTCAAACAATGTGTCAATTTAATTCATCTGTATATAAATTTGCACCATTTAAAAAAAATAAAATAAATAAATAAAATAAGAGCTCTTATTGGAAAAACATAAAACAAA